ATATATATATATATATATTCTTTTTTTAACATATGTAATTTTATATGAAAATCAGTATACATAATATAATATCAAGGGTACAGAAAATAGCACTGTACTATTAATGGAACATTTATCTTTTCTTTCAAATCCTCTTGCATCATATGTTCATTAGAAAAAATGCTATCGATTGTTAAAATTTGATCTATAAAAAAATACATCGAAGATTATGTTTGTTTCGTCAAATTTATATATGACGTAAATGAACATAATCAGTAACATGTTTCTTCTTTGATATTTCTTATTTTATATTTACGTTCAAGAAATTTTTAATATGCTCAATATCATGAAATTTAAAAGGGAATGCACGTGATTATGTTGATATGATCGAACAAAAATTTCAATCAAAAAGGTGCAACAATTGCCGCCGCTTCACCTCTACTCGTCGGCAATGATGCACATTCATGCCATTTATTTGAATGAGGATCATAACATTCGACGGTAGAAATTGTAATCTGCGTTCGAAAAAAATTAATTTCCTGAGATTGATCACCTCCTATAACATAAAGTCGACTATCGGCTGCTGCAACTGCAGGATATGATCTTCCCATATTCATAGATGCAACAGTACTCCATTTATTCTGAAATAATAAAAAATTTTAATATATAAAAAATTTAAATAAATATATTTATAATACATAAAAATATTACCTTTTCAAAGGAATATCGTTCAACAGACGTCAGAACTTCTTGATTTTTATTAGTACCACCAACAACATAAATATATCCATCAAGAATAGTGATACCCATTTGTGAACGCGGAGTGAGCATTGGAGCTAAGTGAGTCCATTCTCTTGTTACTGGATTATAACTCATTACATCTTGACGATGTCTACTATTATGTGTACAACCACCAACAACATATATTAATCCTAAATGGTGAATTAATATATAATACTATATTATATATTTTAATATATTTTATTTTATTTAATTATTCATTGTTTAGTTTATTTACCTTCATAAGCAACTACTCCCATACTAAATCTAGGTTCTGGAAGTTGTCCATCAAGTGTCCAAGAATTAGTTATTGGATCATATATTTCTATTGATCCACCAATATCTTCACCTACCCAACCACCAAATGCATATAAACTATTATCCAAGGCACAAAGTCCAAATTCACACCTAGGTTCTTCCATACAAGCAATCGAAGTCCATACATTATCACGTGGATCGTAACATTCGCAATTAGCGATAATACATGATTCAAGTTCTCCGCCAACAACATAAACTTTACCATCTAATAATGCGACTCCTGGTAGTATTCGACCTATACCAATTGGTGCTACTTCACTCCATTCACTAAAAAAATAATTATAATTCAATGATTTGATATTTGATAATTACATAATTTTTAGTAAATTAATATTAAATAATATAAAAAATTATACCCTGTAAATATATCATATTTTTCAATTGTTTCATAAGTACTTTCAGCAGCTCTTCCCCAACTGTCTGCAGAATGTTCTCGTCTAGATCCACCAATCACTAAAATATTTTTCTTAGCACAAAGTCTAGGTTGTGCATGAAGAGGCACAAGACATCCTTTATTCGATACTAAATCTTTTTGTATAGATCTTAATGCAACAATAAGACTTGCATCTTTACATTCCAAAATAACTCGTTCCAATCTTGCTAATGAACACAACCGTAAACGTATATGACTTAATATTTCAAATACATAACATCTTCTTGTTGGTATATCATGAATAATCCAGTTATATGCTGCTTGGAAGACCTAATAAAATATAATAAAATATAATATTAAAAATTTTAAAAATTAAAAATTTTTTAAATATTTAAAATATAATTGAATCATAAGAAGTTAATGTTTAGAAAATAATTTATAAAAATATAAACCTGAAATTCAGTATCAATATGAATATAATCACTACTAAGAAAATGAACAAGATGTTCTTTCGGCAGATCTAAAAATTCTTCTTCTTGAGACACTTGAGGAAAATTGACTTGTATAAAGCGTAGGGCAGTCTCCGAAAGATCTAATCTGTTATGTGCTTCTGCAAATCTATTTAATATAATTATTTTATAAATAATCCTATATAATAATCTAGATAAATTTTTTTTAATTTTACTTATCTCACCTATAAATCCCAAGAGCATTTGAATAATGCAGTTGCTGTTTCAAATAAGTAATGCAACCAAATACTACTTCATCTAATTCTAACATATCAGCAGCTGCAAATAATTCTTGAACATTATCCTGGGTAATATCAACATTCCCAGTATAAATGAAATCCACCAAGAGAGAAAGAATATTAGCTGATACTGAATGAATTTCTACTAACTCCTGCTGTTCTTCAACCAAACCACCAGTAAACATAGCATTAAAATATGCACTTCCTGCTGCAAGAACTGATCTATGTGCTCTAATAACACTACCACCAGCAACCAGGCCTACATCACTAAATTGATTTTTTAGTCTTTGGGCATTTAAATTCCTTAAAACTTTTGGAGCATATTGCCCCACAGCATAAACAGTATTAGAAACATCGGAAGTTTGTTTTACTGGTTGTGTTGCGAAACCCATATTATTACAATTATGCCCATTCTTTATTGGTGGTACTGCACCATCAGCCATGAAACCATCAAGTTGTCCTTTATCTGCAGTTCCTAATGAAACAATTAATTCTTTCTAATTTTATATATCTATTATTTTTATTCATTAAACACTTCATAAAAAAATAGTTTCTATAATATTCCTCCTTTTATATCATAATCAT